CACACCATCCCTTTACAAAATGCTGGATCTGCCCACAACTGATTTCAACAAGACCCGGGCAGTTAAACTCTTCTGAGGATTTGGGCCAAGGACCATAGCATGAGTGACTGGTGCCTCCTGAATCTGGGGGGGCACCCGCAGAAGCTGCTGATGGCAGTGGCCCTGTCAGGGGGGGCACCGGCCCTACCAACAGCATCAGTGTTGACCGTCGGGGGGGGCACATGCACCCCCATGTACCTGCTACCAGTTGCCTATGGACCTTAGGTTCTTTTAAATGTCTCTTCAAAGACAGAAACCAAAACATCATTGATTGACTGACATTTAAAATAGTCTCTGAGATCTTCTCAATTCTTGTCTTGTTATGGCTTGCTCAAGAAGGTTTCAACCCCATAGTGCAGAACACATTTCTAATGTCCTGAGTTAGTTGAAATTTAACATCTAGGGATATAGAGTAAAAATCCTCTATTGCATCAGCACATTGCCTTTTGCTCCACTGTGTATGGACTTTCATTTGTGCTAATCTTTTTTGGAATGTAGCTTACAACAGCATTGTCATTTCAGTCTCTCCTCTGTCTGAGCAAGAAAAAAAAAGAAAGAGATACTGATGTGTGTTGACTTCCATTTTCCCATGTGGATCTGAAGAAGATTCAGCCCAATTGAGGTGCTGCTGTTTCTAGAAGGGAGTGAAAAAGAGGTGACTTAACTATAGCTGTTCTCAGAGAGGTGTGTGCCCTAAGGGAAGATCTATCAAGTTCCATTAGAATGCTTCAATGAGTCTCTATAAGTTTCTATTGCTCTCTAGTAGGTTGTCCTGGCCTCTCTTGGTTTTAACTGGAAAAATCAATAACCTTAGGAATCAGTGAACTACTGGATACATTGCTCTAAGACATAATGGGAAAGCTGAAATTAGCTGAATATTTTTAACTGGAATTTCAACATATGGTCAAAGGAAAGACACCTACCTATAAACACATGTGCATATTATAAGCTACCAGCACTACTGGGATCAAACACTTGACCAGCATATTCCTTTTTAAATATAATATTCAAAATGTCTGCTTCCAGTGTACTAAATAAATGGAATTTGCTATGGTTTAACAGGAAGACGTATATCCAAGAAGGGCTAAAATCAGTAGTCCCTTCTATTTGGAGCAGAAATAATTTGTTACAGACTAAAATTAACCAGCTAAAGGCATTGGGATTTAGAAGATGAATAAAATAGGATTGCAAGGAGATGCCAGTATTCCCAGATCAAATAAATGTTTTCAATTATATTCACCTCCTCTTTGAAATGTTGGCATGTTTCCCTAAAAACATACAGTAGCCATACCAGTATTTAACTCTAAAAAGTCTTCAAAACAAAAAAGACATACTGGAAAGATCTATTCTACTTCTATTCTTGCATTATCTAATTTAACTAGGTGGCAAGCAGAAACAGAAGCAATGGTCTTTTATTTAAAATAAAAAGTCTTCTAATGCAGAGGTTTTCAAACTGTCCTCTGCAGAGCCCTGGGGTTCCGTAAGAGGTCATCAGTGGTTCTGCAAAGAGATTGGGGGTTACAGTTTTCAACATTGGGGGTTATGCATTTCAACATCTTTATCAATGATTTGGATGCAGGGGTGAAGAACTCACTGGCCAAGTTTGCAGACGACACCAAGGTATGGGGAAGCATGGTCACACTTGAAGATAGGCTGCAGATACAGGCAGACCTAGACAGGCTGGCAAGTTGGGCAGATTGGAATTAAATGAAGTTCATTGTTGAGAAATGTAAAGTGCTTCATCTGGGGACAAAACCCCCCCTACACACCTACACACTTGGCAACGCCAAACTGACTAGCAACACAAATGAAAGGGACCTGGGGTAATAATATACCGCATTATGAATATGAGCCAGCAGTGCAACGCTGTAGCTAATAGGGCAAAAAATATCCCGACGTATCAATCGATACATCTCCAGCAAAACTAAGGAAGTGATTCTTCCACTCCACTTGGCATCGGTGAGACTGCATTTGGAGTACTGCATCTAGTACTGGGCGCCACACTTCAACAAGGACATAGTAAAGCTCGAGAGAGTCCAGAGAAAGGCCGCCCACATGATCAAAGACCTGCACAGCAAGCTATACAAGAAAAGACTGAGGGACCTGGGACTCTTCATCCTGAAAGAGAGAAGGCTAAGAGGGGACCTTCTAGCAGTAAGCTGCTATCTCAGGGTGTACATCAAGGGCTTGGTGAACAACTGTTCACCAGGGCACCCTTGAGGAAAACCAGGAGTAATGGCCATCAACTCCTGAAAGACTGTTTCAGCCTCAACATTAGGAAAAACTTCACAGCTATGGTGTCCACAGCTCCCTCCAGAGGTGGTGCAATAGCCTACCCTGCACATCTTCAAGAGAAGAATGGACGGTCACCTTGCTGAGGTCACCCAACCCCAGTTGTCTTTCCTGCCTGGTGCAGGGGGCTGGACCTGATGATCTTCCAAGGTCCCTTCCAGCCTTACAATTTATAAATCTATGGCAGAGTGGGCCAGGAAGTGGTGGGTCACCAGGCTGTCCATCTGTTCCTATGGCCCACAGAGCTGGTGGGGGGGTAGAGGTTCCACAGCAGCAGAAGTGATATGAAAGGTTTCTGTGACTTTAGGGAGTTTGAAAACCACAGATGTAATGTGTGGAATCTAATAAGTAAAGATGATCATGTGTTTACAACATTAGGGTGGGGTTTGGGATGATCTGAATTGCAATTCTATTTATGTACAGACTTCCTGAGTGACCTGAATGAGTCAATTAACCTCTCTGTGTTTCATTTTTGCTCTTTGTAAAATGGAGATAGTAATATTCACAGTACCCTACTTCACTGGGTTGTCTCAGGCCTTTCTTTGTGATCCATGAAAGGAAGATGCTATGGTCATGAGGTGTATTAAAAATCCATTATAGGAAACTCAGTCAAGCTTGGTGAGGTAATGAGAGTTTTCAGTATTTGTATAAAAATGTCAGGAATACTTCTTTAAAATAATGAAAAATAACTCAATAGCTTCTCTTCTAGCCCTGATGTCATCTTCCATTCCTTTTCATTTTAGATGGGGGAAAAAGAAAAAGCATATTCTTGAAATCCTCATGTTCAACAGCATTTCAGTTGTAAAACTGCCTGCCACTCTTTATAACCATGCCAGCTCCTTGGCCCTGAAATTGTTAGGCAGTTTGAACAGCATGCAAAATTTTTGACATATCTCCTACTGTACATGGCCATACGTGCACAGACCACCTACTGTATGCTTACAGGCCAGCTTATAGCCTATATGCTTATGGTACTGTGCCATAATAAAGGATAACTCTGATGGTGCGATGAAACACCAATAGATCTAGCAAGAGTCATTATCCAGCTTTACAGAGGTTTACCTTCAAAATTCGGGGCTCAAGTCAGATATCATTTACAATGCTGCAACTCTGTTATTGAGTTACTCCACATTTATACCAAGGTCATTCCCAACAGTCTGGCTCCTGGTCTTTCAATCAGTCATTCATACCACGCACAAAAGCCAACACAGTAATAGCAGTTGGTTTTATCTTGCCCACCTACCCATATAGAGAACGCCCTCTTTCGTCTTTCCTGCTGCTTCTGCCACACCCTGTTTGGTTTTTTCTGCTGCTGCCACAACTCCCTCCTTAGCCTTGGAAAGGCCTTTCATGAATACATCCATGGTTAAACAATTTCTTTAGACAGTGCTGGAGAAAGGGAACAAGACAAACATTTTGAATCGAGTGCTCTTTTTTCTGACAGGAAGACTTTTGTTCCAGCTGTGGCTAGAACTGGTTTTATTGAAAGAATAGATTTTTCTGGCCATCACAAATATTATCTGTATACATTTGACTTTCTGCATATACCCGTGTTCAGTATTTCATACAGAAGAAAAGTGGTCCAAAAATACATGCAATCCTCCCAACAGCCTTGATATTTTCTATTTTCTCACACACTGCCATACACAACAAGTTAACCAGCATTACAGACACACATCTAGTTTCTGCAGTACTCTCACAACCCAAGTAGAACAGACCTAGCTAATTGCAAAGGAGCCTTAAAAATGAAGAGGCTGCAATGTGCTATAGGAACTGATTCAGTTCTGGTGGGGGTGAAGAATGGGGGGTGGATTAGTTGATTTAACAGGTCTTTTCCAGATCTTCTCCTTTCTGAAATAAAATTTCCTTTGAAGGAAATGAGATGGGTTTTTTTTCCTGTAAGGAGGAAGGATTCAGCTGTAAGAAGAGATGATGTTTTCTATCTCCTCACTCAGAGCCACAGGCTCCCTTAAAGAAATACTGTCAAAAAAGCAGACTTCTGTGCAAAAGTGTTTAGTTACTATTGTTATAAGAAACCCCTATTATACTTGAAAGGATTTGGAGGGGGAAGGGAGAGGGAAGGTCTGCTTTTCTGGATTTGACAGCATTTCTTTCTGTTTGCTTCTTTTGCCTATAAAATGAGTTTCCCCTGTGATTTTAAGGGGTCCTTCACACAGCAGCAGGGGAAACAAAACATGGATTAAAAGTAGGAAAATGTCACTGTAAAATTCCCAGATTATCAGGTGGGAAACAGGAGCCAAGGTAAGGCCAGGAGCTACATATAAGTCTCTTAAAAAAATGACAGTGTCCCTTTAACAAATTAACTGTATTGGTGATCACTTCTTTCTCCATCCCTATGTAGAGCAAAAGCTTAGGGGTGCTTCTCCTCTCCCTTTCCCTTGTGATGCTGAGAAGGAGGAACGGGTGTCTAAGGAAACATCTGGGCTGCAGTCACCCCTACCAAGGGTTTTAAAAATTAGAAGTGCTAATGGTGCCTCATTAAAACCTTTTCTAACAGCTGCCAGTCTTCCTAGGGGAAGCACTGAAGCAGTTTCGATCACTGAGATGTAAGATCTGTCTAGCAACTACTAGCCAGGCTCTCTGGGATCCATTGTGGAGAGGCAGCTTCCAACCAGGCTTGACACTAGTGAGGGAAATGTCCCAGGACCCTCTCCAGGAGCTGCCCTCTCCTGAATGATGCTGTGCCCTGGAGAATCACACAGACACACGCACACATGCATGCACATACACGCGCACACACACAAACACACACCAAGCTCTGGGAAATCACACTGTACCCCGCCCCACACACAAACATACATTCACACATGCACATGCACACACTGAGCCTTGGGGAATCAACCCTCCTCGAACACACACACGCACAGAGAGGACAGGAAGGCTGGGGCACCTGTTAACAGAGCATTCACTCATCACAATGGACACAGCCTCCCAGCCCTCCCCCGGCTGGGCAGTTTGGCAGTGTGCTGACCTGCTGGAGGGGACGGGGCTAAATCAAAATATTATTTTAAAAAGAGAGAGACAGAAGGAAAGTTGGTCCAGTGCCTCCCCACCCCCCAAAGCTGTGGCATTTCCAAGGTGCGAAGCAGCAGCAGCTGAAGCCAGGCTCATCCCGCCCAGCGCACAGGTAGCCTGGGATCAGGCTCATCCCAACACACCCACCCAACACACACCTCTACCAGAGCAGGCTCATCACACACACTCACACACACACAGCCGCGCGCGGCTCACCGGCGGGGTCGCGGGCAGCAGCCGGTAGGAGCCACCCCCCGCGCACACGCAGCCCGGGGCCGTGCCCCGCTCCCGCCAGGACAGGACCCAAATCCCCCAGTGCGAGAAGCCCGTCACGAGAAGGAGCAGCTGCAGCTGCCCCCGCCGCCCCGCCAGGCACTCACCGCGGGGCCCGGGGAGCTGCAGCGGCGGCGCGGGGACCCGAGGAGCGGCCCTTGCTTCAGCACATGGCGGAGCCGGAGCCGGCGGGGGAGTCGCGGGGAGCTGTCCCCGCCCGGTCCCAGGCCGGCAAGCAGCGAGCGCGGGTGCGGGCGGGAGGCGGAGAGAGCGGGCAGGCAGAGACGCTTCCCCGTGGCAGAACTGCCTCCTGCCCCCTCCCCATCGCCTTCCCCGCCCTTTCCGTCTGATTCGTCGCGGGGGGAGGATGAGGGCAGGCCTCCTCTCCCATGTGCCCGGGCACTTCTTCCCCCGGATGAGGCACTCCTGCCTCTTGGGGGTCCCTTGGCCATGGGTTTCATTGCCAAGAGCAGAGCACGTGGAGACTGACTGGGGCGGGCAAGAAAAAAGATGCGTCTCCCTTATTTACATTTATTTATTTATTAGCATTTGTACCCAAAGGCTTGCAAAGAGGAATTTTTCCAACTGTTCGAGTTCGTCTAATAGAAGACATCAGATTTACCCAAATAACCGGTCTCCCTTGGCAGGCAAGGCTCTTTGGATAGATGTGATATCTTTTATTAGACCCACTAAATCTCTAGTTATTTAGTCCATCTAATAAAAGGTATCACATCTCATAAAAAATAGCACATCTGCCCAAAGAGCCTTACCTGCCTATGTTCTTAAACCAACACGGCTACAACCAACAGCCCTGTCTCCCTTGGGTGTTTCCAGGAGCTTCAGATATCACATATTTCATTATTTAGTTGGTCTAATAAAAGGCATCACGTCTAATAAAAGATACCACATCTACCCAAGGAGCCTTGCCTGCCTATGTCCTTAGACCAACATGGCTACAACCTACACCCTGTCTCTCCTGGGTGTTTCCAGGAGCTTCAGCAAGTGCCAGCCATCAGCCCATTCTGCCCCCTACCTTCCATCCATCAACAAGAAGAAAATTAGATGCCCAGGAGAAGGAAGCCAGGGCCAGGGAGGTGTTTCCTTTCAGTCAGCACACCTTCCCATCATCCAGGCCAGGCAACAGACCCTGGGGGAAAAACTGGATCCTTCTCATTTCTGGCTCCCAGCACCCAAACTGACAAGCAACAAAGAGATGGGGTGACATCTTCTTGAGAGCAGAAGGGCTAAATTTCCAGTGGTATTTAACCAGTGTTCAAATTACACTTTGATACTGGGGATGGGGGGGAAATCAGACAAAAAAAAAACACAACATTGGGCTGCCCATCAGGATGCCCTAATAAAAATCAGAGACCCACCCCTCCCCAGGTTATGATTTTCAAATCTTACAACAGGGGGGCTCTTGTCTCTTATGGGCAGGCTCAGCCCCTCTGAGCTCCCCCATAATTCGAACGCTGCATTTATGATGCTGGTAGATGCCAAGCAGAATTTTCAAAGCATCTAGATCCTTCCCCTGGAAGCCAGGATGCTTCAAAAACATGCCTTGCCTCCATCTGCCTCTTTCAGTTCCTTGAATGCCTTTATCTGTTTCTAAAGGACCCATGTGTCACTGACTTTCTGTGAAATGTATGTTCCCAAAAGCCTAATTTTGTTGTTAAAATGGTCACTTTTGAACATGTTATCTCATTCAGTTGTTTCTATTGGAGAAACAGAACTGCACCCTGAAGTGTAAGCACTATAAAAACCTAAACCTGGGCTCCTACTAGAGCCATTCAAGACCTCAGGACTAGAGAAAAAGTCTGATCATTCCTATTATACAAAAACATCCAGAGCCTGATGCACTTAGCTAGGGTATATTTGGGACCATTTTTTGGAATGCAGTGGGAGTCATCATCAGTCTTTTGATGTATTTTGATGGTATAATTTGCATGTAAGAGTCCCCAAACTGCAGGACTGTAGTATTCCAGCCTTCTCCTTTTTCCTTTATTTTATCCCACTTCCCAAGACTGAAGCAAGGGGCATGAAAACAACAGGTTGAAGGCAGAGGATAGGCAGGGAGCTGGACTTCACATTTCCCACTTTTCCTTTCACCCATCTTCCAACACAGATCTTAATGCTGAGCATCTGTTCTAGTCTCCCTGAAAAATGCAGGCTTTTCTCCCACCCTGAACATGGGAATCAAGAGTTTTGGCCTTTCTGAGATTACTTATGAACTCCAGTATCTCAAAATAGCCTGATAAACTTCCCTTCAGTTCATCCAACTCCTAGCTTCAGTCAGCCTATTGTTTACTAGTGTGGTTTTTTTCTCTGATTGAGAATACAAATGTCTTCTATTATACAACTCTGCCCTCAAGAAGTCCTTTTGTAAAACAATAATTACATTACATGGAAGGCATTTCATCTCCTTCACCATGCAGAGCAAATTCATGCTTAACTGGGAGAAAGACTGGTAGGAGATTCTGTTTCCTCCCTCAGCTTGGAAGAGGCACATAGCTGCAATTTATTTGTCATAGATTGAAAAGGGACATTTTCAATATATGGGGATTATTGTTTTTGTTGCTTTACAAGACCAGGGTAGCAAGACATCCCACGATCAAATCCCAGCTACTTGTATTTAGTTTAAAGCTAGAAAAAACACCAGTAGCAAATGCGGATGTAGTTTTCTTTCTTCCCTGCTGTCAAAAGTGAAAGTGGAAAAAAGTAAAATTATTCTATAATCTAAAAAAGTTTTTGGCAATCTTACATTCCTCTTGACAATTTTAGATGCATCTCAAAAGTGAGATACAAGATTTAGCAAATACCCTCATGGACTCCTTAAAAGAAGTGCAACTTAAACATGGAAGTGTTTTGGAAAATCCCACTGGACCCCTATCCGCAGGCAGAGATGACAAAATACCTTCAAGAACTGGGCCCCATGTCTCTCAGGAGATAGTCAACAGGAATCTAGTCCCCAAAACCCTTTTTGGAAGGAATGATTCCACAAGTGGACAGCAGCATCTTACAAGACTAAATTTGAAGAATATAGAATTTATTTCCACAGGACACCCCACAATCTAAGACTCGGAATAAAAGTGTCCTGAAAAGCATTAACATTATATTTCATCACATCACTTGGTGTCACGGGACGGGGACCCAAGAGCAGCCGTGATCTACCCTGGCGCTCCCTACCATGCCAAGTTAGTATAAATGCACCCTCGTTCTTGCCCGCCATGTCTTTGATGATAAGATTAAGGGAGGCTGCCTTTTTGTCCTACTTGACACGGTACCCCTCACGTACTCCAATCTGTGCCCCATCTACGGTGACTCTGTGCGCTCCCGCCTCAAGGGCTATGCGTGTCTCCTACCACCCCTGATACCACGCCCCACGCCTCTCAGATGTCCCGGACATTGTTCAGTCAGGTACTGTTGCCCGTGCCCTCACAGACGCCCTCTGGGCTTGTCTCCTATCTCTGTACTCTTGCCCGCACTGGGGCCTTGCCACGCACCCTCATAGCCCGCACTGGGGCCTTGCCACGCACCCTCATAGCCCGCACTGGGGCCTTGCCACAAATGGGGCTCAGGTGGCCGTAGCTATGCCTGGCCACAAGTTCCCCTCTTGGGGCTTCTATTCCTGTGTGCGCCCTCCCTGGGGCTTAACGCAAGCACCCTCTGGGCTTCTCGCCAGTGCCCACTCTGGTGCTCTTCACAATTGGGGCTCAGGTGGCCATAGCCATGCCTGGCCCCTAAATCCCCTCCTCGCATCTACAGTTTCTATACAGCTCAGGCGGCCTCGGCCTTACCTGGCCCTCCAATGCACCATGCCCTCTCAGGGCTTTGGGGTCAGTGCACCCCTAGATGTGGTGCCCTCTCTGGCACCGGGGTTCCCACACCATTGTGGAGCCCCTAATGAGGCCTCCTCCAACCCCTATTAGCCTCACCCGGTCCTCTGGTTTTATAAAACTACCAACAGAAAACTCAAGCCCCTTGGCTACAACATAAACTCCAAGCCATCTGGCTAAAACACAGTTTCTAAGCCCTCTGGCTAGCTATTGTTCAAAACCCTACCAGGGCTTGCTCCACCCAGTCCTCAAGCCAAAGCTATTCAGGCCATCAAGCTGCCTACTCCAACAGAGCTCCTTCTCCCAGGGATGCTAGTGGGGAACTGCCTCAGCCTAGGCTGTTTATATAGGCCAGGCCCTGCCCCCTTCTGGTCAGCTGACCGACTGCAGTTGCCCCGGCAACCGGCACCTGTACCTTTCCCTAGAAGCAGGCACTTCAGTGCCCTGCGACACAACTCCCCCCGTTAAGTTCATAACTCCCTAGGAGCAAGGCACGGGAGTGTCCTGCGACACCTGGCAATGTCATATCATGGCAATGACAGGGTGTTAGCAGCATTGCATAAACCATTCTATCAATGAAAATGATGATTACCTTGACACATGGATGATACCAGAACTAAGCGAAGGGCTTTTTTGTTTGTTTTAGCCCAACAATATTTCAAAAACCTCACCTCTAGTGTAATGGCAGCAGTTTTTCACAGTGCCCAAAAGAATCACTCAGAGATAATTTGCAAGGTTCCAGATCAGTGGAGAACAGACAGGTTATGGAAACTGACTAAAAAGCAGCTTACTCTTCAAGCTGGTCTGGGAAGAGGAAGCTATGGAGATATGCTAGATAAAAATAATGGGTTGTCACTATTATACTTATTAAAGGAAATATGGTGGGATTAGTAGTTGTATTTTAATCTTGACTCTTGTTTGGATTCTGTATCAGATGTCAAACCTGACTCTGTGTGGGTCCACCCCTGCAACTACGCAGAACCCCAGAGATTGGGAGCCTTATCATAGCATCAGCTTGGAGGATCTGTACGTGCCCATGCTACAACAGATTGCAGTGGTAAGGCTTAGCATAACAATAGACTTATCTGACTGACTGCTTTCTAACTATAACACAAAAGATTAGTATTTTGTTTGTCATATTTATTAATAGAAACAATTCCAATCACACTCTTTGAATTGTGGCTTTTCCCCCAAAGACTATATCTTTTAGGATTATAAATGCACAAATGCAGTAGCTAAAAGGCAGTTGCTTTGGTTGTCCAAGATGAACTAAACAATGAAAAGGTTAGGACTCCTGTTGCTCTTGATCAGATAACCCATAATCCCTTGCTCTGCCTCCCTAGAGAGTCCCCACAGGTCAAAGGTTCTTTTTTTTAATCTAAGACATCTCAACAGCACTTCCACTTCCAGTTCAACAGATACTAAAAACAAGCAGATTTAAAAGCAAATGATTGACACAAAAGAGTAAAGAACAAATTAAGAGGTAACGGTCTGTAT